GCGCGAGGACCCGATAGACGAGTCTGAATTCGCATTTGTTCGCAAGACGAGTAAGCAACTTCCTCCCGTGGTCGGGGGCCCGGGGAAGACGCGGCCCGCCCAAGCTCGCAACGCGAGCGGGCGCGAAACAAGCACAGCGCAGGCAACCGACCACGAGAAGGCCTTCTTGCAACCGGAGCCGAACAAGGGCATGAATTCTGGAACCCGCCCCAAACTTCGCTTGCACGGCAAGAACCCCACGAACCACCTCGTTGGGAGTGGCGTCGTTGACGAGCTGCAGATGGGGGGCTGGCGGCTCCCCACGTTTGTGCATGTTTGGGTGCCCGCAGTCCGCCAGTGCACCCCCGAGACGCCCAGCCCAAGATCCCCGAACCTTGAGGACTCTCTTACAGTCGTGGCGTTGACCTAAGGAACCCTAAATAGGGAACGAGGCCCCTTTTTTCCATAAGTTAACCTTCGATTTCCCGTCGAAGACATAAGGAAAGCCTGAGGCAAGCTGTGAAACACCTACGGAACACGGAGCCCCTCCCCAACGGAAAGGGTTCCTTCTTCAGGGCCCCGACTGCACGGGCGTGCAACTTATAGAGAACGCATTGGTCGAGGCGGGCGAAAGTGGCAGCGCCCTTGGCCGCCTCATCCGCCCTCGCATTACCGTGTGTATGGCGTGCCGTGGCGCGCCCAAGCTGGGCGTCAACCACTGTCGCATGCCCTTTGATCTTGGCAATATCAGAAAGCCCCCGCCCCGGTCGTCAACCAGCCTCCAAGACTGCCTCCAAAGGTGCGCATGCATGGGAACACACGCACAGGCGGCCTCGCGGCCACGCTCCAGAAACCCTTTCAGCCACAGAGGCCGAGTCGGTGAGGAGGCGGACAGGCGGGGACGCAACGCGCAGAGCAGGGATGACTGCCATGAGCTCAGCAACGCTGATGAACTGTTTGGGGTCCAAGACAGGGCCTGAGCAGAGTGACATCACCTCGCAACGGTCATGATGAAGCGCTATGTGCCCCCATCCAGCGCTGGCCAGACTGGTATACTCAGCCTCAACAGCAGAACCGTCGGTGTAGATGTCTCCTGGAAACTCGGAAGGGCCTCCTAAGCCCCGGCAGATGGGAGCCCCAGTGGGCGGCCTCCTCAAGGCAAGGAATAGAACGGAGTATCTTTCGGCGAAAAGCTTGGCGAGCTCCGAAGACGCTGCAACAACGGCGGCATCGGCCAAATGAGGGTGGCCGTCCGTGCAAGCTGCTGGGCCGCGAACAAAAACAATGCCTGCGCAGGGGCGTGCCTTCGGCAGTGGGGCACAACGGGCAGGCTGGCGCGGTGTCGTAGCCAGGCGCCCACCGCCACTTCTGAGGCCACTGCCCTCCCACGATGGTGCTGCGACGGTGCGCTTTCTGCCGCGCGGTCAGCCTGCCCCCCCCCCCGTCGCCCCGCAGGGCCTTTCAGGGGGCCAAAGAACACGCCGTGGGAGATCTCATCTTGCCCGATATGATCTGCAACATTGCGCGCCTGCCAAAGCTCAGCCGCTCTGAACACAAGCTCCTGGATGGTGTTGGGGCAGAAGTCGGACGGGTTGACGTCGGCCCCATCGGGCCAAATCCACGATGTAGACGACGCGGCAGTGATGCCCACGCGCCTGAGAAAGGCCCGCAGAGCACAAAAGAGTCCCCAAATGGAGGACCAAGGACCAGGGGTGCTGCGCCGTAGCAAGGTGCCAATGGACCTCGCGGGGCCCAAAGTCAAGAGCCTCCAAAGGCACCCACGGGTGCCAGTGGGCACGCAGGTAGGCCTTGACGGGAAGCCAGGTGGCACGGTAGACGGGGTCTAGGCGGGGAACAAACAGGCGAAAAATGATGGGGCAAGGTTGGGAGATGTTCCCAGCCCCTTGCAGTAATCGCCCATGACCGAAGCACCGAACAGGGCCGAGGACTCCAGGGCAGCGCGAGCCATTCGCCCGAGCACGCGGCGACGAGGCGTAGGGCCCTTCAGAAAACCCACGCGCACCACTCTAGGCCGCGCGTCAGCAACCCGTTCGCGGGCGGTGCCGCGACTGGACGCCATCCCAAACCCAAAATCAACCCCTAAGTGTCGCTCCGAGCGGACGGGAAGGGGCTGGAGGCTCTTAAGCTTGGCAGCGATGGTGGCACGCGCATCAGGGACGGTGCTCAAGACTCTGGAATTGTCGGCCGCGAAACGAAGATCGACGCTGTGCAACCGCTTGGCCAGGAGGTGGCCTGCCGACGCGATGTCACCAACAACAATTCTGCTGCCGGTGCCCCATTTCATGAGGCCGAAGTCGTCAACGTTGACGGAAAGCTGAGCAGCGGGATGAGACGCCTGGACGGCGCCCCATGGGCCAAATATACTAAGTTGCAACATGAACGCGGCAGAAGTACATCCTGGCTAAATCGTTTGTTCAACACACACACACACGAGGGAACCAACATCGCCACCGACATCTAAACTGCGCGGCGCTCAATGGGTTTGCATCAGGAAATGCAGGCACCACATCGGACAACCCGTCGCTGAGGCATCAGCGATCAAGTGGCGATGCTGGACCAGCTCGGAGGCCTTGTTAAGATTGAGCAACAGCGCGGCGTAAGCTCTGCTCATGCGTGGAAGGCTCTGACCGCGCAGCTTGAATCCAAACGCACTGGTCACGGGACTTCCCGTGGGTGGACCACCAGAGACTACGATAGTTTGCCGACTGCCAATCCGCGAATCAGAGGACGTCTCAGGCGACGCTGGGCCCGCGCCAGGACGCGCAGCAGCCCCGAGGGCCGCGCCCGCCCCCCGGCCCTCCAGAGGATGAACAAGACGATGCGATTCCAAATGAACGGCCGCGCTCTTCTGCGCTCAATGCAATGAACGATATCGCGCAAAGCTTCGAGCGCAGCAGGGGGCAGCAGCGTCAGAGAACGCGGGGGGGCGTGATCGAAACCAGCGCCAGAGGAACGTTTGAAACACTTGAGAGCCCTCGTGAGTGCAGGCGCCGAGGGCCTGGGCAAAGGTTCTCCGAGCTCAGGCCACTGGAGGGGCTCATGATGACAACCGACCTGTCACCACTTCCCCCACTCAGCCTCGAGGGCATCGAACGACTCGAGCGAGGTGCAGGGTCGAATGGCACCGCGACGGAGGGCAGAGGCTGCCGGGGGGCAGGGATAGACGAGAAGCGATAGAGGGCCGACGTCCCTCCAACCGAATGCGCGTCAGCCCACTTCCCCCATTCCCTCTCCCTGGCCCGCGCGCAGAGGCGGCGCCCCCCCCGTGGCCCCCTCGCCCGCCGCGTCGGCGAGGCAACGGGGCGAAGAGGCTGGGAGAGGAGACGCCTGCGGTGGCGTCGCCTGCCCGGCGGCGTAAGAACGGCGGCGCCGGGAAGCCGATGAAAGCGCGAAAGACGACCCGCTGCAGCGACCAACTGAGACCCGCGAGGGCCTGCTCGCGACTGGAATATGCCAGCATATTCTGGACCTTCCGCCGCCAACGCGCAGTGGGCGAGAGCTTGGGCAACTTGGGTGGGGCAGGGGAAGACATGGATTTCCATCGGATTTGCAAGGGCTTGCCTCTGCCCATAAATTCAGCGCAGCTCCGCGCCGAGATCTGGAAATGCCAGCGCCACTGGGCCTCAGCATCCTTAAAAAACGCAACCTATTCATCCTGGATGGGCCGCTCGGGGCCAGCGCGTAACCGCCCAACGCGGCCCTGGAGATCGACCTCAGGGGGGGGGGGGGGGGGGCAGGCGCGCAAGCAGCGGCCCCGAGGGGAAACGCTTAGGAACCTGAACGAACCTGACCTGACGCAGGGGCTCAACAGAGGGCAAAAACAAGCCTGGCTGGAAGGCGAGGGAGTCTGGGAAGGTTCTGAGCAACTTCCGCCCTCGCACGACCTGCAATCTGGCGCGAGACGACATAGTAGCCGACGCGGCGCATGGCAGGCCTGCAGGATCCGTGCTCGGGAGAGACGATCACGGCATCCAACGCATCTGCCCGCGCCGTTTGGCGCAGGTCCTCTGCCGTGAAATTCCAATCGCCACCGATGATGAAGGGGGTGCCCGAAGCTTTGAGCTGAGCGCCGACCTCGGAGGAAAGGGCCCAGTTCTGCTTGTCAATGCCAGCAGAGCGGGCGGGGTGAACATTCGCGATGACAACGCCGCCGCATATATATATATATATATATATATATATATATATATCGACGTGACGCATCGACGCACGAGAAGGTGCCAATGGGCAATCCAAATGCCCCATGGCCAGCCCAGTGCGCTTCGCCGTCGCAGCGACCAGGCCCCCTGAAGGATTGCCGAGCCGCGCGCGCAGAGGTGGCCCAACCTGACTTGCGCATCTTGCTCTCCGGAGACTCGGAGGCAGGCTGCAGCGCGCCCGACTCTTGCGCGGGCAAAGCGCCTCAAGAAATGGCTTCGGCCAGGAAATCGGCGAGCCCGACTTGGCCGCCGACGTCGGCCGCGATGGTAGACCGCTGCTTGCAACGCCCGACGCGCAATGCCCGACGCCGAGTCGGGGTTGTCACATGGGGTGGCCTTGAACTGATTGAGCGCAGCATCATTGAGGCCTCCAAGAACGTTGTCGCACTGCTTCTTGAAGGGACCCTTGGACCGCGCTAGCTCTTCCCAGCCGCCATCCGAAGTGAGGCGCTGAAGAAGGAAGAGGACTGCTTAGCAACAGGCTGACCGCCGACAGTACCCCGCGCTCCTCCACCGCCCCCGCCCCGAGCCCCCCCCCCCCCCGCAAGGCACCGGGGTGGCAGGCCCAGCGCCATCAGCGAAGGGGGAGGCAGCCGCTCCGACGCCATCTCCTCCGAAGACTGCCCGCGCAGCTTCCTCGACCGATAGCTCGGGCAACGGATAATGCGTTGGCTTCGGCTGAGGGGCGTCGACCATGCCACCGTCGCCATTGGGCTCGTCACCGTCGTCGCTCTCGCCATCGGAAGGGGCAGGCTGTAGAAAACCGTCGCGAGTGGCCATGAGCGAACGAGGGGGGGCAACCAACTTGCTGTCGAGCGCGTCGAACTGCATGAGGAAAACGAAGCCAGGATCGCCAGGATACACCGCGACACGACCGCGCTGGGCAGCAGTCCGCCCCACCGCCGAGCCGCTGACCGCAGCCCACGCTGCGGTGGCCCTCGCGGCGAGGACCATCTCGTTCTCCTGCAGCTGCTCGAGCGTATCCTTGAGGAAGACGAGTTCCCTGAACTTGTCCTGCACCTCCTTCTCGAGCTTGTCAGCCTTCTGCTCCGCCAGGAGCACCTCACGCTTCGCCTCGTCGAACGCCAACGGCGCGTGGCGCGCCACAGGCTTGGGGTCGCCAGCAGCCAGCGCGCGCTGAGCTGCGACACAGGCGCGCTGGCTGGGCCCCAAGATGGACTTGGCGGACTCGGAATCTGCACTGGACATCTTAACAAAGACCGCGGGCTGCGTGGCATCGAGTATGTTGGGCTTGGGCTTGCCTGCCTTGGGCGGCCCATTGGCCCACTCTCCTTGTGCTGGCCTCGGAGGAGGAGAGCTAGGCACAGGAGGACGCTCAGCACCACACCTGCAGTACAACTTCTTGAGCGAAACGCTTGCCTTGAACCCGCACTTCTTCTCGGGGCAGCACCAGGCATCGCCGCGACTGAGATTGCCCATGGGGAGTGCGAGCAGGGGAAAATATATCCCACCAGGAGCTCACAAGATGTGGAGTGCGCAAGCTGGCCTGACAGGCTGAGAGGCTGGAAACTGCTGGGGACCGCAAGTCTCCCTCGCCAGAAAGGTCAGGTCCTTGAGCGAAGCGCTACGGACTTGGGCCAATTCGCTACGGACATGCTCCTCCTCCACCTCCTGCTCCTGCTCCTGCTCCTCCTGCTCCCCCTCCTCCTCTTTCTCCTCCTCGTCCTCCTCGCTCATGCCTCCCTCCTCCTCCCCCTCCCTCTTCCTCCTCCTCCTCCTCCTCCTCCTCCTCCTCCTCCTCCTCCTGCTTCTCCTCATCCTTCTTCTTCATTTCCTCCTCCTTCTCCTCCTCCTCCTCCATTTCATCCTCCCCCTCCCTTTCCTCTATCATTTCCTCCTTCACTTCCTCCTCCTCCTCCTCCTCCTCCTCCTCCTCCTCCTCCTCCTCCTCCTCCTCCTCCCTCCCCCTCTTCTTCACCCTTCCCCTCGCCCTTCCCATGCCATCCTGCCGCCGCCACCCGTGGCGGGCTCACGATCAGGGGCCCTGGTGTCGAGCGAGAAGGTCGGGGAAGGACGCCACCCACAGGAGAAGCGCGAGAACAGGCAGGCGACGCAGGAGGGGGAGGAAGAGGAGGAAGGAGGAGAAGGAGGAAGGAGGACGAGGAGGGAGGAGGAGGAGGAGGAGGAGGAGGAGGACGAGGAGAAGGAGGAGGAGGAGGAGGAGGAGGAGGAGGAGGAGGAGGAGAAGGAGCCTTTTCCAGAAGCTCTTCGTCTGGGACGTCTGGATTTTCAAAAAGCAGACAGTAAAAGCACGTCCCGCCTCAAAGTCCTATCAAAATCACCCCGCGCGCGCGCCGAAGGCCCGGGGTGTCCGCACGCCCCGGCCCGGGCTCAGCGGAAGCCGACCGAGGCCTGCCACAGGAATGCCTGGTGGGCAGCACCAGGACGGCAGGCTCGCGTCGTGACGACCCCGGCGCTGGTTTCTGACACCGCGTCGTTCACTGGCCATCGCTCGGACGTCCATTCCCTGTGTTTGCTTCGGTTTCGTGCGTGGTTTGTTCGCCAAATGATCAAGGATGCTCCTCGATGGCCCTCGCCGAGGAAAAAGGCACATGTCCGAGCGATGCCAGGTTCAACCTGGAACAGTCGGGGGCTGCTCGATCGCCAGACCGTTCCCCGCTGGCCGAGTCTGGGCCACTGGCGGCAACCAACCTGGAGCGCCCGCGGCGGCCGCCGCGTCGGCACGCCACGAACCTGCTGCACGCAGGCTATACCAACGGGGGCCGTCACCATGGGGGGTCGCCAGCTCGTCCTGGGAATCGGCGCCCGAGGGCGGAGGTCGACGAGATAACTACGTTGCACGGCCCTGGGCATCTCGCACAGCTCTGGGGTGTCTGGGGGTCCTGCATTGTCTTCCCCCTGGAACAGGAGGACCGAGGATCCCTCCTGTGGTGACCCCCCCCTTGGCGACGGAGGATAACGATGCCGCCGCTCCCTGCTCTGGCCGTGACGACGAGGCCGCCCCGAGGCGGCCCCAGAACAAGTGAGAACAAGGCAGGGGCATCGGAATGCCTTGCCAGGACCAGGGGAAACTGGGTCGGATCCGACACATCTCGTCAGGTCGGGCCGCATCGGCGCGGAGTCGGAATCGGATCGGATCGGCCGCACCGCCAGGATGCGCAACAGCGCCGCGCAACCACCAGACCGTGTCGTCGGGACATCAGATCGGATGGGATCGGGCCGGCTGGAGTGGATAGCGAACCGGACTGGTCGGATCGGTATGGGTCCTGGAGTGAAGAAAGCGAGAGATACCGGCACAGATGCTCCCCGGCCCTCTCCAGGGTGCGGTATGACCAGAATTCTGGAGCGAATCCAGCCGTGGCGACGAGGGCCTCCCAGGAGGCCCCCCCAGCGGCGAAACCGCGGCAAGGGTAGCGGTGGCACCGGTAGTTCTTTCTCCTCTGCTGGAGGGCCAGGAGGAAGAAGAGCCGCCGGGGAGCCGCCGCCCCATGAGCCGCCGCCCCGAGAGCGGGACCCTTCTCATCCTCCCTCCTCCCTCCTCCTCCCTCCTCCTCCTCCTCCTCCTC